TTTGTCAGTATGGTGTATGGAGTGTAGATTGATGTGGAAAAAAGTAATTTAAAGCAGTTTAACATAAGGCAGCAACATAACAAAACGTGAAAAAAATAAAGTGCTATGAATACTTTCGCAAGGCACTGTATATACAGTTTGTACACCAAAAGTCTTGTCAGGCATATTTAGAACAAGAAACATTAGATGACATTAAAAGACTATTTAAGGATCACAGTGCAGAGCCCAAAAATACTAATTAATAGTCATTTTAAATGTTTACCAATCTTCAATATCCTGCGTCATTTCATTGTTACATAAATATATCATTATATATATATATATATATACATATATATAAAATTTCCAAATGTCTAAAGATTATATGACATCTGAAAATCAATTTTAGTATAAATGATATACTATTATATTATAGTTTTTATTAATAGTTTGAATTAAGTTTTTATTTTTATATTTTATGTTTTTTAATTTAATTTTTTACTATTTTTGTACATTTTTATTATTTTTTAGTATAATATAAATATTAATAAGGTTTTTTTATCATTTTATTTCACTTTTAGTTTTAGTTCTTTTAGTACATAATTTTCAACTAAATGAAAATGAGAAAGGTTTCCTTTAGAACAAGTTGAATTAAAATAAATTTACCTTTTTTATCTTTATCTATCTATCTATCTATCTATCTATCATAGTTTTAATTAACTATAATAACCCTGAGAGACAGTAGAGAGCTGACTGTAATGATGAAGGGCCAGCTTGCCATTGCTCAGACTGAAAACTGTACTGATGTAACAGACTCACCCCGATGATAGCGTTGAGTTCAGCCATGCTAACATGTTTGGATCTTTCCACTGCTTGAGCCACCTGATGCTGATGCTGCAAGAACACACAAATTCACACATGAAGCATGAATAGAGAAGATATTCAAAGATCAAGAGCAAACATGCAAAACTACACCCGAGGCGAAACCTGCTACATGACAGCACCTTTCATTGTGAAAAACCACAAACAAAGCAGAAGCGCATGTGCCACAAACAGCAGGTCAACTGAAAAGTGTTGTTGTTGTCTCTGTGGCAGGCCTGATGTTCCCAGAGGGCCTTACGATTACAAAATAACCAAATCCACTCAGCGAGGCTTAGAAAAGAACAGTATGAAATATTGATCTAGGGAGAGGTGGGCGATTGGAAGCTCTCTGTTGATGACCACCTCTGCTGTAAATAATTCATGTGTAAATAGCCCGTGGGGGGAGAGCAGCTCGGAGAGGATGAGCGTGTGTGTGTGTGTGTGTGTGTGTGTGTGTGTGCGCGCTCACCTCCACTGCAGCGAATCAAGGGTCTTGCTCTGGTACAGGCTGATCCCACACACTCTGACCCACATACACGCTCAAATCCAGGCATTTCCAACAGATGGCCTGGAAAACAAGGAGAGATGCAGGGGTCTTATCTGGATTAGCCCACTCTAGCGTGTGTGTTTGCTCATACAGAGTAGTCAGGCTTAAACCCTGCTTCAGAGTAAATACCCAACAAAACACTGAATCAGGCACATCGCATGTATACAGCACATCCCTCCTCAAAACGACAAAGAAAAATGAAAACAGATAAAACCTTTCTTTTAAATATGTTTGAGGAAAATACAGATAGTTTTTGCTCCACATTTAAAGCTACCATAAAACAGCATATATATACACACACACACACATTATAAATGTTAATATTATATATAATGTTCACATATACTATGTTAAAAGAGATATCTATTTCAAATAAATTCAAAGATTCATGAAAAAATGTATCACAATGTTCACAAAAATATGAAGCATCACAACTGTTTTCAACAGTTATAATAACCCGAAATGTTTCTTTAGCAGCAAATCAGCATATTAGAATGATTTCTGAAGGATCATGTGACACTGAAGTAATGATGCTGAAAATTCAGCTTTGAAATTACATTTTAAAATATATTCAAATAGAAAAAAATATTTTAAATTAAAATAATTTCTCACAATATTACTGTTTTACTATATTTTTGATCAAATAAATGCAGCCTTGGTGAGCATAAGAGACTTCTTTCAAAACATTAAAAAAATCTTACTAACCAGTTGATCAGTTGAACTGTTGAACTGAATGAATGTAACACCTGAAATCTAATATGTAAATGTCTGTGCTGCTGATACGACAGTTTGAGGTTCAATCCCTGCAACTGGAGACTTGCTGCATTCAAAATCCTGTTCCATCCCTATCAAACACTTGATCATGTAGTTTCAGCGTGATCGTCCCAGCAGCAATTAGTGTTTAGTTCATCCAGTGCCATCACTAACCTGCCAACCAGACCCCATAATTCCCGCACATAAGGACACCTCATACTGTAAAGCTCATTACACAGAGATCATGCTGATCTGTAATGAAATCAGAATACAACCGGCACATCAGTCACTCACCTGCTTCTGCATTTCAATGTTCAGCCCGTAAGACATTTCATAATACTGTGGAAGGAAACAAGGGCAGTTCATTAAACGATATAAATCACAACTACATCCACCCAAATGACAGAAATGCTCTGCATGTGTCACCAGAGGCCAGAAATGACCCATATTCATAGTGAAAGACCAGACACTCATTTCTCTTTCATATTAATGTGTGTAGATCATCATTTGTATCTATGCATTTGGCAGAGGCCTTTATCCAAAGCCATTTATAGTGCATTCAGGGTATGCGTTCAGTATTGATCAACAATATTAACTCCATAATTTATCATTTTTCAGTACTTTTCAGACAATTTTATCCCAGTTTTCAATGAAATAGTGTTATTTGGTAGCGCATAACTATAAATTGAGCATTTTGTGTGTATTGTCATTTTGCAAAACATCTTATATGATTACACTGTATAGACTTGCACTATGCCTTATGCAATAAAATAAATAAAATTAACATGCAATATGCCTTTTTCATTACAATGAAATAATATAATATAATGGCAACAAAAGACTCAGTATGGACTTGCACTATGCCTTTATCATAGGGCTGGACGATATGGCCAAAATTGATATCACGATATATTTCTTAATTTCGGTCGATACGATATAAAAATTCTTAAAAAAAAAAAAAAACAACAACATTCAAAACCTTACTGTTCAAAAACTTTTGACTGGTAGTGTAGGCTGATTATTCTTATAGATTGAAACAAATGTGCTTCAGACTGGTAATGTATATCGAAATATCGGAAATGTGTTTAAAAATCATATCACCGTTATTGAAAAAAATTATATCGCGATACATATTGATAATTATTGTCCAGCCCTACTTTATCAATAAAAAATAAAATCGTATGGACATGCACTATGACACTATGCATAAAATAAAAATTCAATGTATACATTTTTAATTTTGTTATTTATTTTATAATGAATCAAATTCATGCATTACAAAATTATAAAATGTATAATTTTTCAGTACTTGTTCCTATCTATTAGCTGTGAAAGATATATATGCCTATGCAATGAATTATCCCATTTTTGGCCAATTTGAAATTATCGGCATCAACCAATAATTGCTTGCCAGTTGACAGAAAAGTCAGTTATTGATTTTTTTTCAATTCCAAAATGCCCAAATGCCTTGAGAACAGATAATTTTTTCCTGCTGTCAATCTTGTTAAAGAGTCTATCTTGTACAGTCAATCTTTCTCAATGAATTTCAAATAGACAATATGTAAAATATAATAAACTTACAATTTCACAATTTTATATACACCGTGCTGGGTAGTAACTGATTACATGTAATCTGGATTACATAATCAGATTCCAAAAATTAAGTACTTGTAATTAGATTATATTACATTTTAATACTCATAATCAGACTACAGTTAACTTTGATTAGATAATAACATATTATTCACACAATAATTCACAATTTATTGATTCTCCCTAATTCTTCGACACAAGATTATTCTATTTGAATCAATGTGATCAACAAATTAGGTCAAAAGTAATCAAATATATTACCTAAAATGTGTAATGCAATGGATTACCTTACTAACTGTAATTTCAATATATGATATTATTTTATACATACAATATATATAATTTGATTTATTTTTATATTATTTATCCCAGGTTTTCAGTGTGGACTTTGACTATATGCACTGCCATTATATTGGTCAAGAGCAAGCTGGCCACTAAAAAAACACACATTGATCGACCATAACTATCAGCTCAGTCACAGCTGAGGATTATGGGTAATGTTGTTGGATGTCACTCTCACCATGATGTAATGTCTGTGCATCTCAGTTTTCTCACTCGCCAACTTCTCACATTCCAGCTTCAGACTGAAAAACAGAAAACGACACACGATGTAAGGTCATGTGACACTGTGCCCTCGTCATGTGACAGTGGTCTATAGGCCACAATATCAGCCCTTCCAACATGAAACAGAACAACTTTTACCACCGCTATTACTGAAGCCGATCCCCTTTTATAATGTACACTGATGTTTACTGTTCTAAAGAAAGACGTTCAGTAGCTTTTGTAATTGCTCCTAATGAGACTATCAGGATTAGCTGGCTAATAGTCTGCATCAGCTAATACAGGCGTCTAGTCGCTGGAGTGATTTTAGAGCATTACTGTTAAATAATCTCATCAGCTTTGCACAGGTGATCCCAACTGCAGTTCAGAGAGGACGGAGATCATCATACAGATCTAAATCACAACATAATTGAATAAAATGCAGATGCAATAATAGGAAATGAAGTAAACAGCAGTAAACATCAAGGGACATGGGAAGCTTTTGAACATCGGTTTAATTTTATGAGTCAGTTGAGTTACATTTGGAGAGTTTGTGTGAATAATATTGCGATGAATCCTCCAGGATGAGGTGAAATGAAGGTCATGCATCTGTACCTGTGATACTGGGCCTGGAACAGCTGGAATTCCTCTTTTATATGGTCGAGAGTTTCCAGGACTGTGAATTTCACACCGGCGTGGCCTGACACCAGCGGAGCCTGAAAACACATAAGTATTGTGAGGGACGTCACTCCAAAAAGATCCACCGGTTAGCCTATTATTTACTATTTCTACAGTGTAATGGGATTACATTGCTAATTACTCTGTATGGAGTAATCATGTTAGGTAATCTCAGGAGGACAATACAAGGATAGATGGCAAATTGTATCTTCATTTAACATACCCAGTGTGGGTAAATGTGGGTCTGCTGTTATTTTCATGATGATGCCATGTAAAATTCATGTTTTACGTTATTATGTTTTCAATGAAATAGTGTTCTTTGGTGGGGTACAACTATTTTCATTTTGCAAAACATCTTGTATGATTAAGCTGTATGGACTTGCACTATACCTTATGATAAAAAAATAAAATAAAAAATAAAACACTGTATTAACATGCACCTTTTTCATTACAATAAAATAATATAATAAATGGCAAAAAATGACACAGTATGGACTTGTGTGTGGACCAGTATGCGTGTGTGTGTGATTTGAATAAATCACATCATTTTTTTTTTTTTAATTCAGTGTTTTGTAATTTTAATGTAAGTGGGAATACACAATCAAATCCTCTGACACACACACACACACACACACACAGACCACACAAAGAAGGCTTTACTGCATGAGTAAAGAGACACTTTATATGGCCCTGCCTTTGACAATAAATGCTTTGTTTTGTCAGCTTTATCAAAAACACGAGACTGACTGCAGGCACATATTGGACTTGCACTATGACTTTTACATTAAAAATAAAATAAAATAGTTAAACAATGATGATGCATGGGTTTGCAATATGCCTTTTCCATCAAAATGAAATAAATACAATTTTGAGTAAGACCTTGCCAACAAAAATGATTTGACTTGCACTTTGCATCAAAATTAAAAAAAATGTATAAAATAAAATAGAATATAGTACATTTTTCCTGTTAGACAATGCCAAACAATGATGATGTATATATAGGCTTGCACTATGCCCTTTTCATACAAATAAAAAAATGAATAAATAAATACCTAAATAAATAAATTAATTCAAATAAAATAATATAATATTTTGTCTGTTCAACCTTGCCATCAAAAATGACTTGAACTTCTGCATCAAAGTTAAATTAAATAAAAAATAAATAAAACAAATTAACTAGTTTATTAGTCTGTTATAGGCTAATTAGTTGATTAGACATGCCAAAAATGATACTTGCACTGTGCCTTTTGCATCAAAATAAAATAATATTTTGCCTGATAGACCATGCCAACAAATGCTGTATTGAGATATATATGCTGGGTTATGGTGAAGAGCAGATAGTCAGAGGAATGGAGGCTTTGGTCAGTAAACAAGAGGGTGTTGTACCGAGAGCCGAGTACAGCAGGACAGAGCCATGAATTGTCACACAGACTGTTCCTCTCACACCAGCCCTGAAAGAACGCAGTCATCTATCTCACACTGTTTACTGTGCAGGGCACTTTCAGACAAGAGATAGAGATGGCGAGGGGAGGGGGGGAAAACACAGAGCCGTGAATAACCGTAGGCTGCTGAAATATTCAGCACATGTGGCATAAATACAAGAGCAGTAACAGCCATGTGTGTGTGTGTGCAAACGACACATGAACCTGCTGCGTTCCCAATCGATGCTTCCTGTGCCGATTGCTGCTACTGGCAAAAACAGAACTGTTCGGGAGGGAAAAAACCCCGCACATCTGTTCGGAGCGATCGTCTCATTCCAGGAGACTGAATCTGTACTGTACATCAGCTCTGATGAGCAGCTTGTTAAGGCCTCGATACACAATACTGCTCTGATGAGAACTGACACCATGCACCGCCGCCTCCAACACGCACACACACACACGCAGCCGCTGCACTTTATCTGTTTATTAGGGCTGTTCATTTTACATCTTCATTTGATGCCACTAATTATCAAAAAATAACAAAACTTTATACAAACATAAATAATGATTAAAAGAATTGTTCAAACAAATATGAATATGTACTCACCCTCAGGCCATTCAAGATGTAGATGAGCTTGTTTCTTCATCAGATTTGGAGAAATGTAGCATTACATCACTTGCTCAGCAGTGGATCCTCTGCAGTGAATGGGTGCCGTCAGAATGAGAGTCCAAACAGCTGATAAAAACGTCACAATAATCCACAAGTGATCCACACCACTCCAGTCCATCGGTTAACATCTTGTGAAGTGAAAAGCTGTGTGTTTGTAAGAAACAAATCCATCAAGATGTTTTTATTTCTCTCCTGAAAAACAACTCTAAACAAACATGTGGGTGGATTTTGATGTGAGAGGACAACAGGAAATGGACTTTTTCACTGAGGGAAGCGTTCATTATTGATTATGTTGACTCATATTTTTACCAGAAGCGACAGTTTAAAGTTAAAATGCCTTGATGGATTTGTTTCTCACAACCATGCAGCTTTTCACTTCACAAGTCATTAACTGATGGACTGGAGTGGTGTGGATTATTGTGATGTTTTTATCAGCTGTTTGGACTCTCTTTCTGACGGCACCCATTCACTGCAAAAGCTCCACAGGTGAGCAAGTGATGTAATGATAACCTTCTTCAAATCTTCTGATGAAGAAACACATTCTGGATGGCCTGAGGGTGAGTACAATTTCAGCCATATTTTCATTTTAGGTGAACCATTCCTACCATCTGAGAAATTCAAGCTTGAAGTACCACCTAAATGCATGTTTTTTCGCAAATTCTGCAGTGTGTGCAGTCACAGCTTCAACTACATGCAAAGCTGAACTAAGTTGACACAACAAAGTCAGTGTCTTGAAAACAGCGTTAATGGTTCGAGACTGTTAGACGTCACATAACAGCCAAATCAGTCCATCCAGCGCATGTGTGCACGGATAGAAAAATTTTTATTTTAAAAATGTGCACATAAAACTGACAAGATGGGGTTTTGAGAGATGTTAAACTGTGTGTGATTTTATGTTAAGTGTTAGTAGAGCTAGTGTGTGCTAAAGCCAGATCTGATCATTAACACCATCAACGTAATGATAGTAAATACAGCACAGATGGCGAAAGATACACAAACAACAAAAAAAATATATACATGCGAATATCACTCATACACATATTCACACTGCTTACATCTGGTATTATCGTCACACTCGTGTGTGAACTGAACACAAATGCACAGTGCTGAGTAGAGTGCAACTGTACGGTTCACATTCATTTTCCCATGCAGAAATTGATTTGTAAAAATAGCATACGAGATCCACCAAAAGCAAAAGAGCTCAGCAGTGACCGTCCACTCCCATGAAGCACTGTGAATATCATAGTTGACTCGAGTCTCCCTTTAAATCCACTTACATATTTGCATATCTATCTATACATTTTTAATAAACCTAATATATCGTGTTTATACTTGTAAACAATGACTACTGGTCATCAGTCATTAGTTTCCTGAGCAATTCTTTCACTTATGAATTTAAATGCACAGTAACTATCTTGAACAATACAATACAAACCTAGACTTGTTTTTTCAGCTAGTTGCTAATGCAAAATTTAGTTTAACTTGTGCTAAAATTGAAATAAAATGTAAAAAGACATACTTAAAATACTTTTAAAAATGCACAACAAAATTACTAAAATTTTAACTGAAATGAAAAATAAAAACTAAGAATTAAAATGACAAAAATGCCTAAAACGTATCTAATATTAAAATAACAACACAACAACAACAATTTCAAATATTTATCAAAACTACAACAGTATATGAATGGTTGAGATCAGAGGCAGAGGATAATCCCAGATGTAAAGCGGGCATGAGCGTCCTGTATCAGATCCGACAGGGTTTTGAGAGCAGACAGAAGCTGCCCACTGGAGTCAGATCATCAGCGGCCCAGCAGGCAACAGCACACACAGTCATTACGTATTACCACACACTGTCCGCTAAACACACAGATGTAAAAACAGCACACACTAACAAACCAAACCACATTTGCACACTCTCTAAAAGGTCATTCATTATGCACACGAAAATTCCTCACTTTAAAGCTAATGCATGTTAATAATGCATGGGTCTCCATGGGCCTGTAATAACAAGCCATCATAGCAAAGGTAGCTTTGAAGTGCAGCTCAGTGTGTGAGTGTGTGGTATCGTGTTGCCCAGTGACGATGATGGAACATGACATTTGCAGTGGAGAGTGGGGTGGCCTGGATCCATATGTAGCAACATGCAGCAATAACTCAAACAAACCATTCATTCACCCGTCCATCCATCTGTCCATCCCTCCTCCACACAGAGCAAACTCAAGCCACAAATCTCTCCCTCTGTTCATGAGTGACCTTCTACTGTATTTCTGCCTTGAATAATGCCTCATTCCTCCTCTTCTGCACATGCACATCTGCCCATCTCTCACAATTCAAAAGTGTTTTATTGGCATGACTTTTTAATATACAAAAATAAAAAAATTATTAAAAATAATAACTGAAATAAATATAAAAATAAAGTGCATATATATATATATATAACAAATAAAAATAAAATGTGTATGTGTATGTAATACACATTTTATTTTTATTTGTTAATAAAAATAATTGCTACCCCACTCTCCACTGCAAATGTCATGTTCCATCATTATTAATAATTAATTACATATAATTAAAAATTGAAATAATTATTACATAAAATAGAATAATTATTATCTATGTATATGGGAAATAAAATAATTTATTTTATGTGGAAAAATTACACCTGTTCTAATTAACATTTGTGCATGTACTTGGCCTATATAGGCTATGTGTGTGTGCTTTGTATAATTGTGTTTAAATGTGTGCCAGCTTGAGGAGAAGGCTTCCCCAACTAAGGTGTGGTTCCTCTTGAGGTTTCTTGATTGTAGATGAATATAGATGTAGAGTTGTGTCAAGTACAGTAATATATTCAAATAATATATGTGTGTGTGCGATAAATATATCATTAAAATATCACAAGTAAAAAGTGTAGTAAAACTGTGGACGCAGAACAGAATCATACACGATCTAAAAGACGTGCTGTTTAATAATAGGCTCAATTATATATATATCTCTCTTACAGTGACTGTAATGGGACTCCAGGCCTGTGTGTTTTCTCAGCCCGTGCATCAATCATTGAACTCATAACGCTGTAATTAACTCTTCATCGTGACCTTAACCCTGACCCCAACACCAAACACAACGCACGTTAAAACGGGCCACCGCGCGCAACTCAGCGATCCGCTAGAGACGATCTGGAAAGGAACGTTCATTAGGCTGCGGTACCTGGGGTCTTCCGTGCGGATACATGGTTCTGGAGGTCATCCACGGGGATCTCGGTGGTCAAGACCGACAACGAACCCCCCCCCCGCGTCCGCTGCGGAAATCAGCTTCGCTCCTCCGCGCTCCAAACGTTCTCGAGCAGCTGAAGAATGACAAGGTATCCGATGAAAAGTTGAAAAACGTTCTATTCGCCCGGATCAAGCGCTCTTCCTCTGTATGACGCACAGTGACGCCGCGCTACAATGTAACAAGATCAGCCTGTGCGGGGCGCGTGCGCGACGGAGATCAGAGCAACATCAACAACGCTGAATAATCAGCGAGTCGATTCTCTCGAACGATTCACTGATTCACTCGAGTCTCCTTAAAACGTACCACGTCAAACAGCCGAAATACTATGGGTTTTTGAGGAATTTGTCGCCGCTGTGATCGGAGAAATTCACGATTTAGGAATGACTATGTCTGTTGAAGAACAAAACAGTCTCTTCAAAAATGTTAACCCCGGACTTTTACATTCAAATTTAAAAACCGCGAAAACCCGTAGGCAAATCCTGAGGGACCCTATGGCTCGAAAATGTGAATTATCTTCTGCATCTGACTACAAAATGATCTTCTCTGTTGTTTGTAATGTTAATTCTCCAACGTTTTAATATGTTTTCAAAAGGAAAATATAGCTAGCATGGTGAAATCCTACAATAATGTCAATTTACGAACGCTCTGCGAATCGGCTCGTGCGAATCACTAAAATGATCCGGTTCAAAAGAATGATTCGCTCGCGAATCGGCAATCAAAACCAAACTACAGCCAGCAAGAGGTGTATTGGATTTCTGAAAATCTAAAATAAATATATGAGAGATTGAGAGGGAGAGAGAAAGGGGTGAAAGATCAGAAGAGAAAAGAAAACGCACAGCAGCTCTTCTCAGCGGTGCTGTCTGTGAGATTGACATTAACTGCGGAGAGCCAAAGCTGCTTTTAAGGTCGACCGCTTACATTTGCTTATGAAGATTATATAAATAGGATAAAACGGGAAAAAAACGCAAGTGATAAAACAGCTGAAACCAAATTATATTGGTATATGTTCTATTAGTATTCTAAACTCAGCTATTTAAAATGAAATACTGTTTGAAAGAGAACAAAGCGGGAAGCCGTTCGTATCATAACACAGAACATAATGTACAAACATTGCAGCCTTAACGTCTCTTTTCACGACTGGACTCTGGTTGGCTAACAAGATTAAAGTCAAGGCCAATGAGTGACACCAATGCCCACGTTGGGTCATTACATCTGCTTTGATCTAGACCAATCGTGAAGCAGGATTTAAGCGCAAGCGCGTCAGTGTTGCATTATGGGTAATGGAGTCTTTTATGTTCTCAATCGCCGCATAATGAAGATGGAGAGCCAGTCGGCGTGCATGAAGCGATTTGATATATGTGAACATTCGTGAGATTATGAGTTAATGATCCACATTGACAATCTGTACAAAAGAGGTATCATGTACAAACTGAAACGGAATAATATTAAGAAATAGACAATACTGACCGAACTGCATTAGCCTGTATAATCATCATGTGCCATTTCATACTACGCATTATAATTTCAACACCATGCATGCCCTAATATATTGCATAGAATATTAATCTCACTTATTTAGGCTAATGAGTTTTCTTTTATCACGAAATCACAATGAAGTGTGCACATCTGCTTAAAGGAAAATTAAGATGCATTACAAGTTAAAATTAATTTTAAATGAGAATTTGCAACTTAAAAAATCGGCTCGACTGAATCACTAAAAAGAACCGGTTCAAAAGTATGATTCGTTCAAGAAGCCAAACTGCAGTGAATAAAATATTAAAACTCAAAGATTTAAAGATGTAAATCATGATAATACATTTTGTTTTATCACGAATCACAACAATGTGAACATATCCGGTTAAAGGAAATTAAATTAAAATGCACTAAAAGTACATTAAAATTAAAACATTCATTTTAATTTAGAATTAAACTGCAACTAAATAAAAAAAAAAACCTTGAATATAGTTTAATTTTTTTCCTAGGTATTACTATCAACTTTTTTAGGAAATTAAATTAAAATGCACTAAAAGTACATTAAAATGAAAACATTCATTTTAATTTAGAATTAAACCAACTAAATAAAAAAAAAACCTTGAATATAGTTTAATTTTTTTCCTAAGTATTACTATCAACTTTTTTGTTAATGTTTTTTTTTAATTCCCTTGTATATATATATAAATAATGTGTGTATACACACACACCCACACTAATAACAACATTTATTATCAGATATAAAGACAGAAGAAAAAATGAAAGGTGGAAAAAAGGAGAGAGAGCCGCAGAACTTAAGAAGAGGAGGAGAGGAGGAGTGGTGCAGTGTGGTGGAAATAAAACAGCAATGAGAGGATGACGACAGGCTGAGGAATGAAAAGTGAGAGTCAGTGACAACACACACACACACTGAAAGAGTTTAATGAAATATCATGTCAGAGCTCCGCCACAGGCCACATCTCCATCAACCAGAGGAAATTAACAGACCGACAGAATGTGCGCATACAGTTTGGATTGTGTGCAATAGAGAAAGAAAGAAAGAAAGATTGATGAATTGTCACCTTCATTCAGCAGATCGTATCAAATCAGAACTAGGCTACACTCATCGAAATGCAAATATACAACCATTATTATTACACTGAACAAAATTATAAACGCAACACTTTTGTTTTTGCCCCCATTTTTCATGAGCTGAACTCAAAGATCTAAGACTTTTTCTATGTACACAAAAGGCCTATTTCTCTCAAATATTGTTCACAAATCTGTCTAAATCTGTGTTAGTGAGCACTTCCAGTTTGGATTGTGTGCAATAGAGAAAGAAAGAAAGATTGATGAATTGTTACCTTCATTCAGCAGATCGTATCAAATCAGAACTAGGCTACACTCATCGAAATGCAAATATACAACCATTATTATTACACTGAACAAAATTATAAACGCAACACTTTTGTTTTTGCCCCCATTTTGGCCACAATCAACAACCTGATCAACTCTATGCGAAGGAGATGTGTTGCACTGCGTGAGACAAATGGTGGTCACACCAGATACTGACTGGTTTTTGGACCCCAATGGACGAATGGACGAAATGCATGCATATATTAATAATACTGGTTTTAATACTTTCCCACTGGGTGAAAATAATTATCGCAGGCCAAACATGTTCATAAGAACAACCATGAACTTCAGACATCCAAAAAAAAAAAAAAAACCTTAAAGAAATGTTATAAAAACTAAAACTAACAAATAAACAAATAAAAAACTCAAAATAAACAAAAATAACCTAAAATGAAAATAAAATGCAAAAATAATACATAAATAACAAACTTAAAAATAAATTAAAATAGCTTAAAATACATAATAAATAAACAATAACAGAAAATATCAAATAAATAAGTTGAAAATGAATTAAAAAAAATGTTAAAAATAAAAGTAACTGAAAATCACTTGAGGTAAAAATAACAAATAAATAGACAAAAAAAAAAAAAAACTCCTGAAAAGTCACAAGGAAACCAGGGGCCTGTTTCATAAAACAAGTTTACCTAAATAAGCCAGGTTTATTTCAGTTAGTCTGACTTATTGTCAGTTGATTTGGTTTAAAATAAGTCAGACTGACTTAAATAAACCTGGCTTATTTTGGTAAACTTGTTTTATGAAACAGGCCCCAGATCAGTTAACAAATAAAAATACAATTAAAACTTAAGTAAAAACAAAAAAGAAAATTTAAAAGCATGAAAAGTGCATCAAAAGAGCACAAAAATGGTAAGTTCTATGTGATCTGTGGTGATATTTCATTAATATGAGAGCAAAATCCTTCCTTCAGTATTGAGTGTATCAACATTAAACATGCCATCAAGATGATTAAATTGCATATTTGTTTATAGTCTAAATCGCTTATGAAGCAGAAACGGTTTGTTTGTCCAGCTTCATTTGTGTGTGTTATGATGAGCAGTCTGTCCAAAACCAGCTGAAATTACAGTCATCAGTGTATCTCATTTTCATCTGCAGGACAGCGTGGCTTTAGAAACACCATTAACCTGCAGGCTTCATCAGCGCTGTGTCAGCTCTATAGAAGGATCATTAGCAACAGCAGCACCTGCTGTACAGAACAGAAACTGTCTCCTGAAAAAGAAATAGTTTACATAGAAAACATATTTTTCATTACTCACCCTTATGTTGATCCAAAATGACTTTTGTCCTTCTATGAAACACAACAGGAGTTTTCCAACATTCTTCACGCGGCTCTTTTCAAAACAAAGACAGCAAACAGTGACCAGGAGCTTTCAAGCTTAAAAAGAGGACATTATAAAATGGACAGTTCTACTCCTGGAATACACAAATATAGCAGAGGTCAAATATTACCCTTTACATGTCACGCACTAGATTCTCTAGCCTGTGTTTTAATGAAAATGCATGTGCACTACAGTTCAAAGTTTGGAGTCAGTGAGATTTTATTTATTTAGCTGCATTGAATTAATAAAAAATATAATAAAACAGTAATATTGTGAAATATTACTACAATTTCAAATAACAGTTTTCTATGGGAATATATTTCAAAATGTAATTTGCTCCTGTGGTGCGCAGCTGAATTTTCAGCATCATTACTCATCAGTCTTCAGTGTCACATGATCCTTCAGAAATCATTCGAATATGCCCTTTTTGAATGATGCATTTTATTTTTCAGGATTCTTTGATGAATAGAAAGTCCAAAAGAACAGCATTTATTTAAAATAGAAATCTTGTGTGACATTATAAATGTCTTTGCTGTCACTTTTGATCATTTTAATGCATCTTTGCTGAAGTATTCATTTCTTTCAAAACTAAGTAAATAAAGTGACGTGACATGTGGCCAAGTATGGTGACCCATACTTGGAATTAGTGCTCTGCATTTATCCCATCCAAAGTGCACACACATGTGTAAATACAAGTTTACACACAGGTCAAACATTTTTATTATTATTTCATTCTTAAATGATTAATTATTATTATTTTAACGTTTCCTAAGCAATGATATTTGAGAGCTATACGGTGGAGAGAACGACTTATTATATATAAATGAAACCCAAACAGTAGCACTGATAAAGGTCCAATGAATCTTTTATTTGTAAGGCACCATAAATACTTCCTTACTGCTCAATCTCTCATTCATAGTAAATGGTTTAACCTTTTTCTTCCAACAATCGTCTTTAAATGAAGTTATAATAGCAGTTTATCAACACAAACAACATACATTTCCATCAAGTACATCATGTCACATCAACACACACACATTTTAAAAAAACTACTACAAAGCTCCAACATGTGGCAAATATCAGATGAGAGCCATCAGAAGAGGGAGGCTGCAGGAATGGCTCGTGTCAATGGATTTACGTAACAAACTCGGCTGATGAGACCAAGACCAACCGCTTATCCTTTAGCAGCTATAACTAGCCAAGACCAGCCAGCGCTACACGCATTTAAACAAATCAGAGCGGAAATGTTCAACTATTAATTGATCATAGATTTCTGTATAACCTGCGCTAAATATCCTCCGGGCCACATACACCATAAACATAGCTTTATACATACAAAAATGTTTACAAAATTAAATGTATATTGATATATTCATACATGGATATAAATTGGCCGTCAGGGTTTTTGAGATCAAGCGAAATCAAATCTAAAAATAAGAAAACTTAATTTGTAGATTAAAATAAGCGATCCAGGGCTCAACGGTGAGCGTTTCTTAGTATACATCAGCATGCACCGGGTGTGCTGAAAAACAAAGAATACAAAGGAATCATGGGACACAAGAAACAAATGTCCAGGAACACACAATTAGAAAATACCCACAATGCACCCGCGCATATGTACAACCTTAGGTAGTCTTGTCTTTAAAACTTGCCTTTGAAAATTATGACAAAGCTGATATTTTAAGAGAAACTGTGAGCAATGATATATTGGTAACGCTTAACAATAATGTTTAATTTGTTAAACACTTAAATGGCATTTATTAATCTTAGTTAATGTTAGGTTCATCATTTAATACATTATTAAAATCAAAAGTTCTATCTGTTAACATCAACTGTGAATTATCATGAACATGTTAATACGTGGAGTACAAATACATTGTTCATTGTTAGTTCATGATAGTCACTGCATTAACTAATGTTTACAAATGAGACCTTATTGTAAAGTGTGATTTTAGACATTTCAAGAACTTAACTTGAAAACAACAGTTATTGAGAGGGAAAAATAAAGAGTTAATTATTGTATTTTTTTTATTTGATTATTGATTATTGTAAAAAATACATACATTTCAGTCTTAAGTCTTGATTGTTTTTGCATTTTAGTTTAAAGTTCAATTATTTTAATATTAATAATAATAATAATAATTACATTTAAATGCTTTTTAGTCATCTTGATTGACTAAATCACCTTTTTAGTCACTAATAACACCATTTTAGTCATTAATAGTAACTGAACTTTAGCATCAACGAAAACGCTAAAAACACATCAAATCAAGGTTCAAGACTGAAATCTACTGAGAACCACTGCTTTAGTAGTAGTATGATATAGTATGCCAATTCAAATATCCTATTCCAGCTGCACAAACCATTCAACACACACTCACTGGCTGCCACCTGCTGGTCACACATGGAAACACATTCACTGCAAACAGAAAAACAAACCATGACATGAGCATGTGGGTCTGCACTAGGAACATCTCTTTGTCAAAACTATTTTCAGGCCTGTCACTGTCACACACACACACACACACACACACAAACACACACGGCCTTCGTAAGGCATTTATACCTTTCTGAGGGCAATATAGACAGTTGTCTTTTTATGTAAAACACGTGAATGAATTCCTGTGAAAGGGTCACTAGAGTGTTAAAACTCTTAACTAGAAGAAATATATCGACTAGTAGGTATCAGAGGAATTGACTGTTGGAGGCTCTTGCTGTGCGGTTTCTAAACTGTTCTGAGTGGTTATGTTTGGGGTGCTTGAGAGGACAAGCATGCAGTTACTAGGTTGTTGCGAGAGCATTGCCAGGCATTCTGGGTGACTCATAAGAGTGCATCATCAAGTCTCTATTATATTCAGGTCTCTGGATAAGGACCTTGTTACATGCTGAAGTTCAACACTTGGGGATAGGGGTTTGTTCAAATCACTAACCCCAAGTATGAGCAATATTAACAGAGCCTTAGCAAACACCACTAATGAAAAGCAAATGAATCAAACAGAATTACGGAATAAAGATTCGCTGTAGTAACAGAGAGAGAGAGATTGAATCAGACCCAATCCGGTGAGACAGGAGTTGCCTCTTTTTCTGCACAGAATCAAAGCGTCTCTATGAAGGCTAGTTGGATTTGTCTGCGTCGTCCTCGCGGTGGCCCTCGGCCCCGTCGCGGGAGCTCTTGTCCTCCTTGGCCAGGTGTGCGTGAGACGCGAGGATGCTGGACAGAGACAGGAGGCCGGAGCTGGAGGTGACGGCGGGCAGGGTGGGCGGAGTCAAGCCCAGGGGCAGATGGGTCATGGGTAACGCCAAACCTTGAAGCTGAGAGAGCTGGTGAACCTGAAGCTGCTGCTGCGTTTACACCAACAAACAAACAAACAAACACCCGTCACATATAAAACTCATACTGTTGACTTGCATGCGCATTCTTTCTGAAGTTTAATGACAAAGCCACATTACAATTTAATTGCATGTTTGCTGTTATGACAGACTATTTTGTACTAGCGTTACTTTGTATTTACAACGCTTACTGATAAGAATATAATCATTTCAATGCACTTTTTCTGCCATTCATTTTGACACCGTTTTTACGATTATGTTGTCTTAGGAGTATGAGAGAATCAAGATTTTTTTAATAGTGTGGCTAGTTACAAAAACTATTCATTGTCTATTTTAATGAATCATGTAAACGTGAATCTATGATTCAATGATTCGCTTGGGCCATCACTCAAAAAATATTCATGGAAATATTAATATACATATTTTATTTTTAAAAAATGATATCTGTATATAGATATGGATATACAAATAACGAGAGGCTAAAAGTATAATGATTTATTAATTTTCGAGCAATAATCTGCCAGTCCTACACAATAACACATAAAGTTGAATGGTGTGAGGTTCCTACCCGAATAATTGAGTTCATCTCAGGAGGGGTGACCTGTTTGGCTCGCTCAATCGCCCCCAGGACCTGCTGCTGGTGCTACACACACACACACACATACACACAACAGCATGCATTTCTCTTCAGGTAAAAAGCACAGCATACAAAACCAATAAAACCCTCTTCTGTCCATAAAAGCAACCCATGACACAAACCAATGGCACATCTGATGAGGCTGAGTGTCATTATAGAGAGTGTGTCATAAATAAATCACAGTCTGACCTCTTGAGACAGGTAAGGCAACACCTGAGCACAGATTCCATTCAATCTCTTCACAATCTCCGCCTGCAGACAGAACACAAACACATCTCATGGGTTTACATCCATTAATGAGGTAGCGCTTACAGGCTGCTGATGTTGCACAAAAACACATGAACAACACAGTCAGTCATGATAATGTATGCTGACCGACTGTGTTTGATGAAAGACGCTACTGAATCTAGGACGCTGCATATGTACAAACCATACAAGTAAGCCTGTGGTTTAAAGGAAACTGCAGATTTTGCACAAACATAAGTCTAAAGGTTTACATATCCTCCCGCCATATTTATTACATTTTTTTTAAACAAATATAATAATGCATTAACTTTCCCCCGCATTTGATGCAACATTTGTGCTGATTCTGACACAGTATTCAGATTCTCACCTGTTTGTGCATTTCCATGTTGAGTCCGTATGACATCTCATAATACTGCAGTCAGAGAAACAGGAAAGAAACATAAGATCAAAAATTCAGCTTTGTCATCTCAGAAAAAAAAAAACATTTTAAAATATACTCAAATAGAAAATAGCTATTTTAAATTGTAATAATATTTCACAATATTTTTACAGTATATTTACATTTTCAGCCACATATAACATATGACAAGCTGCACATATAATGATTCACATTTTTTGACATATGGGATAAAGAGAGACATCTCAAAAGGCCAAAAAACTCACCTGAATCCACCTTATACGTGTCTCAAAGAGGCAATATAAACAAGTGTATCGAAGGCAGCAAAAACAGCAGAGGACTAATGAATATAATCTTTAGTTGACTAAAACTAAAGCAATTAAAACATGTTTGTTTATTTATAATAAAGCTGAAATTAAGCCAAAATAAAATATAAACATTGGATGAAAAACTTTAGCTAAACAAACATTACAAATATCACCTTGAAGTGAAATAAGTTGAAGAACTGGAAGTAAAACTGGAATTAAATGAAAACTAAAACTTAAAACTGAAATGACAAAAGCACATAAAATGACAAAATTTAACTAAAATTAAAATGAAAACTGAAAATATTACAAAATATTAAAACAAGAACTAATATAAAATATTCTTAAAATCTAAAATAGTACATCAATAATACTAAAATAATGCTGGCACTTCAAGCAAAGTGATCTCTTCAAGTAAACGAGGTGGAGGAGAAGACGTCAATTTAACATCAGTTTCCTTGAAACTTCAGAGCGACCCAACCTGACTGTGATTTGGGCTCATGTTTAGGAGCTTTGCTCTGGGCTATAGCCGCAGATCACTCCTGCTCAGACACAGCTGTTACAGACACACATTCACATCGATCCGTCATACTCCTGTGCACACTTACGGCCCATCATACAACTGATCAATGAGACGCTTGTGTATGAACTACTGCATACGCCCACAGGCTTATAGACAACATTCAATCACATGACAAATAAGAAAAACTCATTTATATAAGAACTAAAGCCAAAACAATGCAAGAAATGCACATGTAAGGACTAAATAAGAAACTATAAAAATAGCACACTTCTGACAGTTCTTCTCAGAAGTGTGCTATTTTTATTTTATTTTTTCGCAGCGGAAACCGCTTCCATATGATTTGCATATAAGGTCTGATCAAATATTCTAAACATGCATGTTTTACTCACCATTATGTAATGACGCTGCATTTCAGATTTCTCACTCGCCAGTTTATCACATTCCAACTTCAGACTGAAACACAGAAAGAGAGAAAAACACAAGACAACATGAGATGCACTACTCGCTTCTTGTTAAATGTGTTTATATGTTGTGAATTACATGATGCATCTTTAAATAATGGAAATGTGGAGATGTTCTCAAGGTTTAAATGACACTGTCTGTGTATGACAGCTTCAATATTAAAATTTCACCCTAAAACACACACATTTCATTGAGGCTGTCAGCTGCACTTCACCTCACTTTCTCTCGCTCGCTCTAGAAGCGGGGGGGGGAAAAAAAGCCAGAAAGAATTCTGCAACATTCTATCACTATGACAACCAGTTTCCTGTCTGGACTGCCTCACGGAGGCTTGTGATTGGGCTGGCCATGTGTTGAGAAGAATGTAATCATGAAAGAATGTATGATTTTCTTCTTCATAAAAAACCTTTTATATTAAATAGCTACACGTACACTACCATTCAAAAGTTTTTTTCTTATTTTTTATGTTTTTGAAAGAAGTCTCTCGTGCTCACCAAGGCTGCATTTATTTGATAAAAAAAAAAAAAAACGGTAACAATTTTGTGAAATATTACAATTTAAAGGAACTGTTAATTGTAATTTATCCTGTGATGCACAGCATCATTACTCCAGTCTTCAGTGTCACGTGATCCTTCAGAAATCATTCTAATATGCTGATTTGCTGCTCAAGAAACATTTCGTATCATTATTAATGTTGAAAACAGTGGAGCTGCTTCATATTTTAGTGAAAACCATGATACATTTCTTTCAGGACTCCTTGATGAATAGAAAGTTCAAAAGATGATAGTTAATTTGAAATAGAATATTTTTGATCAATTTAATATATCCTTGCTGAATAAAAGTTAATTTCTTAAAAAAAAAAGAAGAAAAGAATACAGTAGCATATACTATGAAATATGTATATTCTTTCTCTGCTGGGAAAACCTTTTTATGGCCAAATTTTGGATATAAAACCCTACAAATGCACTCTAGAATGAGAATGTCCCTCCCCCAACACCACCTGCCACCGACTAATAGCAAGTAGTAAATCACGGTTTATGACGGTGATGTAAACTGGTTAAAATAAATGGCTCGTTTTTGAATCGGCCCATCCCCACGCCCTAACATCAACACAGGAGAGAAAATTGCATTTGTCAGACCATTTTATGAGGTCTTTAATCACTAAAGCAATAATAATAACAACAACATTATGCAATCACAAGCAGCTCCACAGAATAATCACTCATTCATTAGCATTACTTGTGGAAATACTCAGTGACATGGAGCAGTAAGGTGTGTTTTTAAACATACACCAGAGTTATGGCCTATTGACGCTGAGAGTGAATATTCAGCCAAGTCGAAACGAATCTAAAGCAGTCCGATGGTGACGACATTACCACGTTCTGCTGTTTATCCTTCTCCATTTCCCTCTTCCTTCCTCTGTCCGCGGTTTCTCTGATGTGTGATGGCCGGATGGCCTCCGTGATCGCTCTTATCTCTGGTGCTGAGCTGACAGATGATGACAGGAAGCTTTTCACACCATTCGAGCATCCCAGAGAGGAATTCACACAGGCAGGGTGTTTTTAGAGTGAGTAGGAGAGAGACTGCCTGTGCTTCTCAAGGTCGCGTTAAATAACGGTTCAACTAGTTTTGTGTATGAATGCTTTTGGTATGCTCCAGCTTAATGTTTTTAAAGGGAAAGTCTCTTCTGCTCAACAAGGCTGCATTTATTTGATCAAAAATACAGCAGAAAAAGTGATATTTTGAAATATTATTAGTTTAAAATATGCGTTTTCTATTTTTTTTTTAAAGTGATTTATTCCTGTGATAATTTCTCCAGTTTTCAGTGTCACATGATCCTTCAGAAATCATTCTAATATGCTGACTTGCTGCTCAAGAAACATTTTTTAGTAATAATGTTGAAAACAGTTGAATAGTAAGTTCAAACAGTATTTATTTAAAAATAGAAATCTTTTGAAACATTGTCTTTTCAGTCATTTTTGATCAATTGAATGCATCCTTCCTGAATAAACATTAATTTCATTAAAAAAAAATCATACTTTTGAAACTTTTGAGTAGTATTTTGTACGAGTGTTTGGTATACCTGTGATATTGTGCCTGCAGGAACTGAAACTCGTCTTTGATGCGATCACAAGAGTCTGACGTGGTGAATTTGAGCGGCTGTGTCGATTGAGACGAAGCCTGAAAAACAAAAGACAACAGATAAGAGATCTGATTCAACATGACCTCTAAATGTTCCGATGAACAACCTAGGCATCAGTTAGGAAGAAGTAGGTTAACACACTGAACCATAAAAGATATTCAATTGGTAAGACTCTTCCTCTGGGGTTATCAAGCTAATTTTAGTCTTAACTGTTGCTAAAATAAAGTGCATAAAATGTTTGACTCAATATTTGAACTTTGACCACAGAAAAAAAAAAGCAAACCCCAGCCATGACAACAATCCTTTTGATCAGAGATATAACAGCAACATTACTGCAAACAGGCTAAAAGAATTCTGCTGAACGCCATAACAGAGCCAGTGATTGCATCGCGTGTTTGAGGTCAGCTTGTCAGGTCAGGCTGAAATTAAAGCTTCGTGCAAATAGAAAAGAAGGGCCATTGGCTTTTCACCTCTGACCTGCTTTACCAGAGGTCACTGGCTTGTGACCTTTAAGACCAGACAGACAGGAACAAACCATCACACATTAGAAAGAGAGAAACAGGATATGCAACTGTGTTCAGTGTGCTTCATAGGAAAACAGCCTTTTGAAAGCAGACAGATATGCATAGAAACTGCTGGATAAACATATGTGTGCGTGTTTACACACAACTGGCCCCCAGGGGAGGAACACAACAAAACATCTCAGCAGGGAATGCTTGCTTTACACACACACACACACACACACACACA